GGAAGAGGCGCTTGGATGGTGGGGGTTCTTGGCCCGAGACCATTTCCTGGGTGGTGCCTACCCAGATGTTGCAGTAGTCGAGGTCGGTGGAGGTGGAGGGATGGTTTCGCTTTTGATTTTGTGCACTTGTGGGTGGGGTGGTGGTCGTGTTGTTTGAGGTAGTATTTTGGTTGGTGGTAGGGCTGTTGGGCTTGCTCTTGTCCTGGGCTTCGGCCATCTTGTTGGCTAGCTCTTGCTGGGAGATGTTCTGGGCCTGACGGAGCGTTTCTTCGGTTTGTTTGAGTTGCTCGTCTTCCCTGGGCCAGCCGGCGCCTATTGGCCAGCCCTTGACACCTCGTTGTCGAGCATATCCGTCTACAACGGAGAGCCAGTTCTCTTGTTTGATATCGGCTGATGCGTCGAAGGCGATGATGACGTCGACATCTCTGCCGGGTCTGAGGAGCGGGTAAATGGGAAGGTTGTTGCTCATGCCTGCGTCCATGAGCCGGAGATGACGGCTTCGGAAGATGGACTCTGGACAGGACGGTGGCAGCTGATCTTTCATGCCGAGTACGTAGTTTGGTATGGTGGCTGGGTCAATCGGGTGAACTCGAACTAGATCCTTCGTCTTGCCTTGGATGAGGGAGTCTATGCCGCTGAGGCCTGTGATGCCTTTGATGACGGGCCGTATCTCCTTGTAGTAATGAGACAGCGTAGCACAGAAAGCACTTCCCCAGACACCCATCAATGCGGGAACGCGCAGCTCAGGAATGGGGGAGATCTCCTCAGGTTTAACATTAAATCCACCGTGGAAGTGTCTTCCCAGCGCCCACGTCGGTATTCCTGCGCTGAGCTCCTCGCAGAAGAATTCGTAGGGTGTAAACTCAAACCACTGAAACCATGCCTCGCTCTTCGACTCCTTAATCAAATCTTCTGGCTTCTCTCGTTTCTCGGGGTTCTCTTGGTTCTCAAGCACAGGAATCTCATGGCGGACAGCCGTATAGATGGGAAGTGGATGAGCTCCGGAGGCGAGGTTGTATCTCTGGTTCGAAAGCTTCAGATCCCTATCACAGACGCCTAATTCTCCCTTGGGCACCAGCAACCGCGCAGCCAAGAGCATGCCGTATATATCCACCAAGCCAAAATCGGCACCGGGATCACCTTTCAGCTTTTCAACCAAGCCGCTGAGAAGATACTTGTTTGTGGGAGCATTGGTGAGTAGCTTGAGGGCTGCCGGCGGAAAGGCCAAATGGACACCCAGTCTGTTTTTCAGATGGTCAACCATTTTGTTGAAATCGCGCCCCGTGATGGACGAGTGGTAGAGGGTCTGCAGCCAGCAACTGCCACTAACGCCAGCAGTATAGGTAACACAATCCCATAGGCCAGCTTCTTGTGTAGCGAGGTACGAGCCGGTGCCAGCGACAAGCGCACGCAGACCGCCACCCGAGCCGCACATGGCAATGATGGGAACATCGTCCGGATGTATCTCATCTTCAGGGATGTCCAGATAAGAGGCCAGCGCCGCGGTTGCGTATTTTTGCCGCTTCTGTCTGTACGCCAATTCTTCGTTGCAGAGTGTATCCCCAACTCGAACTTTGGCTTTGCGGAGGATTTCTGGGTTGATGTCTGGGTCGTGAGCTTCGTGCCAGATATCGTCTGCAAGGGAGCCCGGCGCCATAGAGAGCTCGCGCTGGAGCTTCTGCACGGACAGTGGAAGCAATCGGGTCCAGTCCGGAATGATGTAGTTTTTTATGTTGTCGAGCTCAATCCAGTCAGGAGTGCCCACAGCCTGCTTCACCCCCTCGAACTTTTGCAGTACATTTGTCCATATCGAGCCTGCATCATGGTGCGGGTCTTCCTTGGAGCCATGACCCAACGGGTTCCAGTCGGAGCTTCCGGATGATTTATCCGACCGTTTATCAGAGCCCGGGTTTGAGCTTGTTGAGAAGAAGCCTTTTGGACCGGTCTGCAGCAGTAATTGCTTATTCGACTGGGTTTGGCCTCCGGTAGTATAGAGGAGACCGCCGCCTAAGGCAATCAAGAGGGTAGGAGGAACAGTCCAGCGTAAACGCAGTGCCTTGGCAGCCCCCATGTTGCAATGGGTACCGCGTAGGATTGGGGAAGTGGCGGGAAGTAACATGCAAGTGATGAAGCCATGGCGGCCAGGCCACGACGATCGTGGCCGGACTCCATTCTTAAAGCGAAGCTGGAGCTGGAAGACGCGCCGGGAATCTGCCGGAAACATGACGACATGTCACGTGGGGCGCATCCAGGAAATCCTCGGCGCCGCAGACGGGCCGAACTTGCTGGATGGGGATTAGCGCCCCTCTTCTGTCCGGGGGAGATTGAAGGGCCACAAGCTTGCTTCTTGAGCTCCTCTCTCTCGCCTACTAGTATGCTTGCTTCATGAGGCCAGGTGCCTCATCGGCCAGCTGTTCTTTTTGCTGTCCTTCCCCTCTTTCTTCTCTTCTCTTGCCTGACCGCCAGGGTCAAAGACATGACATCATCCCCTTCCGTCGCGAGTGTCTGATTCCGGTTACGAATCCCTGATTGCCTGACACACTAGTGGGACCTGCGCCGATCGAGGTCGAATCCTCACAGCCATGGTTGCTCCCAGGAACGCCGCTTACGCGGAGGAGAGCGCGGAGGTCGAGGTGTTATACGCCAACCTCGAGAAGCTCAAACTCCTTACGAAGAAGATTCAAGGCTCTTTGAATCGCTTGGAAACCGGGGGCAATGTGGTGAAGCATGCGATCGGGCCCATCTACAGCAATACCCAATCGCTACAGATCACCAACAGCAACATAGATAAGGTCAATGAAGCCATTGAACGCCTCCGCCAGCCTCTGGATGCCAAGGGCAAGGAAGAAGGAATTATACGATCAAGGTATGCAGCATCTTCGCGGGTTCGGGCTAATTCAGGGAATGTTTGGCTCACATCCACTCAGCCCCCAGACCGTCGGTTTGTCGCAATACCTCTCTGCTGTGAAGCGCGTGGAGAAGGCCTTGGTCGACCTCAACTCCACCAATCTGCGATCGAACCAGAAAGCTATCTCCGAATTTACTTCTTTGCTGGTGCTTGGAAACTCCCAGCTCCAGGACATGCTCCGCGGCACATTGAGCGACTACGTTACTCCGATCGAACCATTACACTATCTAACTAAAGGTATGCAGTACACAACTTTCACTCAGATAAAGATACTAATGATCTGCGCCTCGCTGTAGAACTTTCGTTTCCCTCGCTACCTGATGAGACTGTCGCGGAGTTGGGCCCAGTATGTTCGGCTATCGGCTCTGCAGCGAGCTATGGGCCACAACGGGGTGATGGCGGAAACCCCGCTCTTAAAATCTACGCCGACATTCGCGGACCATATATCACATCGAGTTTGCAGAATCTGGCCATAGCATCTCTCAATACTGTCAAACGACGGGCTGCCGACGGTCCCTACAGGCAAGGCACCAACGGTATCGGGATCTATTCCAACGCTTTAGAAAGCTTTATATATGCAGAACATGATATTCTCGTGCGGGTCTTTACAGGTGATCAACGGGGACTGGCTTTGCAGGCAACTTGCCGCTCCGCTTTGGGCGAATATGCGCAGACCTTGCGAGAGCTCAACCAGTATATCAGGGCAAACCTCATGACGGATTGCTTTTTGGCGTTCGAGATCATTGAGATTGTTACTGCCATGTCGTACCGTGTGGAGTCGAAAACAGGGGAGCTGAAAAGCCTCTTCATCGAGGCTCTCAGGCCGGTTCGGGAGACGGCAAAATCGTCGCTTTCGGAGTTATTGGAGGAGACAAAACGCAAGGCTGCAGGGATTACTATGCTCCCGCCAGATGGCGGGTCTGTTCCCCTTGTCAATGAAGTCATGAGCTCCCTTACTACCCTGACGGGCTATTCGGGACCGCTCGCATCGATCTTGACATCCCTGGGAGACGGAAACTGGCGGTCTACAACCAATGCAGCGCCCACGGCGCCCTTGGATGTCAGCCCGGACAGCATGACCCTCTTATCGCACTTCATTCTCGATATGATTGAAGCTCTTATGATCGCCCTGGAAGCTCGAGGCCGGGCACTTCACCGCTCGAAGGCAGTCCAGGGTGTTTTCTTGTCCAACGTATTCTGTACAGTGGATCGCTCCATCCGGCAGAGTTCTGAGTTGGCCCGATACCTTGGCTCTGCCGACAGCATTGCACGAATCGACACATTCCGCAAACGGGCCACTTCGACGTATCTCGATGCATGGAAAGAAACTTCCCACTATCTTCTGGATGTGCAGTATACCTCCCGGGGCTCTGGTGGGTCAGCACGACCGGCATCGGGAGGTGTCGTCGACTCCGCCGCCATTGTCAAATCACTTTCATCTAAGGACAAGGACGCTATAAAAGACAAGTTCAAAGCATTCAATGCTAGTTTCGATGAACTGGTGGGCCGCCACAAGGCACTGTATATGGAGCGGGAGGTGCGCGGGGTGCTGGCTCGGGAGGTCCAGGCTGTTCTCGAGCCACTCTATGCCCGATTCTGGGACCGCTATCATGAGATCGACAAGGGACGAGGCAAATATGTCAAATACGACAAAGGCAGTCTGTCGGCTCAATTGGCGGCGCTTGGATGAGGATGGAAATCTTAGACATATACCTACCTTACCTTTTTATATTCATAATGTGATAATATATGTTTAAAAAAGTCCTCCCCCACGATTTGGGCGTCATGTGGTGATAAGCAACTCCGGCGATAACGTGACCGATAAGCGGAGACCCCGCCGCGTTCATCCACTCCACTAGAAATTTGCTGGTCATCCCGCACAACTTTCGCCTCGCCCCTCCTCCGCCTTTTCCCTTTTTCCTCTTCCCTCAATTCCTTCTACAATCCTCTCAATTCCTCACGGCCAAGATGTCTGCCAGTAACGATGTCTACCAGACCCCTCTCAACTCGCGCTACTCCAGTAAATCTCCCGATACCACCTCGGGCGACTGCCTGCCCTCATAGTGCGATATCGGACTAACGGGACACCAATCTTCAGGCGACGAGATGAAGTATCTCTTCTCTCCCAGGAACCGTTTCTCTACCTGGAGACAGCTGTGGCTCTGGCTCGCCGAGGCCGAGAAAGGTAAACTATACTGCCCACTGTCGTGCTTTTGTCACCCCGTTTCCGTTGCCCGACTAACCCGCACAGAGCTCGGTTTGCCGATCTCCGACGAAGCCATTGAGCAAATGAAGGCCCACCTCACTATTCAGGACGACGAATTCAAGGTTGCCGCTGAGGAGGAGAAGCGCCGTAGACACGATGTCATGGCTCACGTCCACGCCTATGGCCAGGTCGCTCCTGCCGCTGCCGGAATCATCCACTGGGGCGCCACCTCCTGCTACTGCACCGACAACGCAGACTTGATCTTCCTCCGTGACGGACTCGATATCCTCATCCCCAAGCTTGCTGTCGTCATTGACAAGCTGTCTGCCTTCGCTAAGCAGTACAAGGACCTGCCCTGCCTGGGTTTCACCCACGGACAGCCCGCTCAGCTTGTTACCGTCGGAAAGCGTGCCTCCCTGTGGATCCAGGACTTGCTCATGGACCTGAAGAACCTTGAGCGGGCTCGCGATGACCTGCGCTTCCGTGGTGTCAAGGGTACCACCGGTACTCAGGCCTCTTTCCTCCAGATCTTCGAGGGCAACCATGACAAGGTTGAGCAGCTGGATGAGCTGGTCACCGAGAAGGCTGGTTTCAAGTCTGCGTACATCATTTCTGCCCAGACCTACTCCCGTAAGATTGATGTCGATGTTGGCAATGCCCTCGGATCTTTCGGCTCTACCTGCGAGCGCATTGGCATTGACATCCGTCACTTGGCCATGCTGAAGGAGGTCGAGGAGCCCTTCGAAAAGGACCAGATTGGTAGCAGTGCTATGGTGAGAAAAAAAACTCAAAAGGACCAATGAGAGCTACAGGAAATACTAACGTGGTTGGTCTGTGCAGGCTTACAAGCGTAACCCCATGCGGTCCGAGCGTCTGTGCTCTCTCGGAAGACACCTTCAGAACCTCCCCAAGGATGCTCTGGACACCTATTCTGCTCAGTGGTTCGAGCGCTCTCTCGTAAGTTTGCGAGCCATTTCTCGTTACCTGACTTAATTTGTTAACGGCTTGAACAGGATGACAGTGCTATCCGCCGTATCAGCATCCCCGAACTCTTCCTTTCGGCCGATGCCTGTCTCATCCTTCTGAGTGAGTTTTCAGCGCCTTTTCCAATAATCTCTCCCGACGCTGACAACGGTTAGACAACGTCACCTCCGGCTTTGTTGTTTACCCTGAAGTCATCAGACGCCATGTCAACGATGAGCTGCCCTTCATGGCCACGTAAGTTCCAGACGCCTCTACCCCCCTTTTTAAAGCTCCAGCTAACCAAGAGATCAACTATAGTGAGAACGTAAGCCTTCCGCGTCCAGAACCGTCTCTTCCAATAATACTAACCATAGCATAACAGATCATCATGGCCTGTGTGAAGAAGGGTCTGTCCCGTCAGGACGCCCACGAGGAAATCCGTACGTCGCGCGGCCCCCAATCCAGTCCCACACTAGCTAGCCCTAACCTAACAACTTCTTGCGCTACAACAGGTGTCCTCTCCCACCAAGCTGCTGACAACGTCAAGAAGCTCGGCTTGAACAACGACCTGCTCGACCGCGTCCGTCGCACTGCTTTCTTCGCCCCCATCCTGGATGAGCTTGATGCTCTCCTTGACCCCAGCACCTTCGTCGGCCGTGCTCCCCAGCAGGTTGAGAAGTTCCTCTCCACCGAAGTGAAGGAGGCTCTTAAGCCCTACGAGGCCCAGGTCGCCAAGGCCGAGACCTCTGCCCTCTACGTATAGATTTTTCCCGCACGGGCGCACATATAGACACGTCATGGAGTTATACCGAGCGGGCAGGCCGGACAGGAGCGAATTGGCGTTTTCTTCCTCCACAATCTCCCTACACAAAAGCGAAATCTAGTCATGCGACATGCCAGCGAAATCTGTTCCAAAGTACCTTGATTTGACTAAAAAGGGAAGAAATCTAAAAAAGGCCGTTTTAGCAGATTCCAGCAGTCTAAAAGACCATGTGTATAGATAATATAATTGATGAAATGATATGAGATGTTAATAATGCACGTTGAATAAATGTTCTCCTTGTCGGTCTGTATGTTTACAGTTTAAGTGACGTTACACGAAGTAACTGTCTAGCGGAGAGGTACATACTACATACCCATTGTACTTTCCGTCCCCTTATCGGAAGCCTAGAACGCAGTGGCAGGGAAGTTGCTGCTGCAGCCCCGACGGCCCAACCAGTCGGCTGTGGTAAAACAGAGTTTTGGCAGAACTTAAAACTGTGGGGGAAATTTTTTACTGCAACATTGTATCTACAGGTTCCAGGCTGTATTCAAAGACACGGTATGCAAAGTAAACTACTACTAACCAAATGTGTGGATCTTTCCGGTTGCGGGTATCTGTGTTCTATAAATTCAGTGTAATGTATTGTGACTGGTTCAATCGAGGAAACATAGACACAGTAGATGATGATGGTGATAAATGTCAAAAACGCCTTGGCCATTTAAATACCAGACAAACAGATGTGATGTGTGGATGAAGCTGCGGGGTTACATGATGAAACGGGATAGAACGAAGAAAAATGCAGGAGAATAGATATGAAGGTACGCGATGTAATAAGGTAGAGCGAAAAAAAAAAGTAAGAAAAAAGAAAAAAGAAAGAAAAAAGAAAAGAAAAAGGCGAAGAGAAAGATAAAGAAAAGGAAGACAAAAATTGGAAAACACCTATCCCATCCATCCAAAGCAATCTGGCTCGGGAAGAATACTTCTCATGAGACGTCAAGGTTCCACAGATAAGACAATACAGGACAAGAAAAGCAGCGAAATATAGACACGCTGTCGGTCACTGTTGAGATGAGAATACCTGAGGGTGATTGGGGTTAAGTAGAGCGCACGTTTTAGGGACATCCAATACCGTTATTTACTTTCGAAGGAACCTTGGAACGGATGGCACAGCACCGCTCCGTCATCATTTCAGAGCATAGCCAGCCAGTTGATAACCTAAAGGGGCTGTTACTGAAAGTACTTGGTGGCGAAGTATGCAGAGCGTCACTCACCATCATCGCTTGTATCAAAGCTACCTTCTCTCCGTAGTGCTTACCATCCCAGCTATCAGCTTGAAGAGTCGCATTGTACATTCCCAGAGCATCCAAGCCTCTGTTGCGGGCTTCTTGGGCGGTGTCTTGTGAATACTGCCAGCTGGATGCGTGGATGTTGTCCCCCGAGTCCTTTTGAAGCCCAGGAGCTGTCGGACCTACCCAGAGAAAAGGGGTGTTCCGCCCACTGGCCTGGGCCAGAGTGAGCCATTCATCCATGCTGCTTTTAGCTGTAGACAGGGAATAGGATGTGGAAAGGGAAAGACTCAGGATCACGGGAACGGGTCTGTTTCGGCCAACTCCTCGGGCGACCATTCGACGAAATTTGTCATACACACCCCTTGGGGCAGGAGAACTGGCTGTAGCGAGGAAGGCATGAGGAATACCTGAGAGCAAGAAGCATGTCAGCAAACCAGCTCAGATGTGAGCATTGGTGGTGACTATGATGCTGGGGGTGCTTACGGGATGAACAAGCGTAAGGCCTGCGAGTGGCACTGCTTCCTTCTTGGGCGTATACTTCATCACTCGAAGTAATTCGCAAGGGTAGGCACGATCTACTAGTGAACTGGGATTCACATCGGCAATCATGGCCATGTCCTTTGTTTATCTCCCACTCTCTCAGGGATCCAGTGGCCAGGTCCTCCCGCAAAAGAATGTTGAAGCCTGCATAGGTATCGGCCAAGGTATCATCACCCACGAAGACGATTCCATCGAATTTCCGAAGAATGTCGCATACTTCGGCGCTAGTGAACCACCGATAAGAGCATCCTGGAGGGGAAGGTCAGTTTGAGTGTCAAGAAGGCAATTGTTGCCCCTCTGGAGCCCCTCCGAGAAGCCGAAGTGTCCGATACGAGAAAAGAAAGATCATCGATTTGGCACTTGCCTTGAGAGGTATACGCAGCGTCAAAGCCGTGACGCCCGCCATTGCTCATGGCGTTGAGCAGGGCATCACGAGATTGGCAGTATGGGTTGCTTGAAGCACGTTCGCCATCACCGGGTTGAGGGGGGCTGAAGAGGGACAGGGAAGAAATGTCGCACTCTTGACGACCCACATAGGGAGCCAGTAAACTATGTACAAGACGGGGCCAGATGAGTAATTGGGTCATGGACCAGGAAACGATGAGGTCAATCAGGAAGGGGAAGAAAAACAAGGAAACTGACAGGGAGAGGCATCCAGGCACTTACTCATTCGTGTCTTTGGGGGTGAGAGGCTGTCTGGAAGAGGCGTAGAAGGGGTAGTAGAAGACATCCCGAATCAGCCAGACGATATAAAAGACACCCAACACCCACAGACAAGCCATCAACTTGTACGTGGAGGATCGCCAGGTGACCCTACGAATCAAGCGTCGACCGTTGGGCCCTTCGATCGGGCCGCGTCGCTGTGGAGCATTGCTTTGCTGCATCCCGGAGAAAGGATAGGCAAGAGCTTCGTTCATAGTAGATGAAAGACCCAATGATTCGCTGTGAGAGGCACGACGGCGAGACATATTGGGTTTGTTTACATGAACATGCAGCTGGAGGGGTAGTACAAGGGGGAAAGGAGAGAGTCAGGAAAGATGCATCTGCTGAAGTACCAGAAGCCCTTGTTTGCTTAGGTGACTGACTGCCCAGGGCTAATCCAGTCACAATGCAAGCTGAAGTCTCGGAATCAGGCAGGATTCCCAGCCAACGTAATGGGGCCGGCCAGGGGAAGCACCCCGAGGGGGGGCAAATAGGATAGTAGATAGTATCGGAGTAGGAAGGGAGTGAGGGGGGTTGTGATTTGTGTGGTTTGAGGCCGGAGACAGGCCGTCTTGTGTCTGGCACAACTCGCCCGAACCGGTAATCAGAGAGGCACGTAGAGGTTGATGGTGATGGGTGATGATGATGGGGTTAGAAGTGATAGTAAGTTGTGGCGTTGGAGACACTGACTGCTAATTTCCTAAAGCAGGAAATAAACAATCACCACACGAGAGAGGGAGAGGGGGGGTGTAAGATGGGAGGGGGAGTAGCTGAAGGAGTGGAGGGAGGCCTTTAGATGTCTCCTTCTGATTGGGATGATATTATTCCCAAGAATTGGTGCCTCTCTCTGTCTCTGTCTCTCTTTCTCTCTCCGTCTCTCTCTTCTCTTCTTCTTCCTTGCTTTCTTTCTCTCTTTGCTTCGATTTTCTTCTTCTTCTGTTCTCCTAGTCCTAACTGGACGTGACTTTCCTTTCCCTGCCACCAGGAATTTCCTTCAGTCAAAGTTGACGGTTGCCCCAAATCCGTTCCACCAAGTGGCCTCTCGTTCTTTCCTTTTTGAGCAGGTTTCTACTTCCCACCCAGTCTTTGCTCTGTTGGTTTGACTGGTTTGCTTTCAGGCTTTATTAATTTCTTTTTTTTTCCCTTTCCTTTCTTTTTTTTTCCCCTCTTGTTTTTCAACTTCTGTCTGTCTGTCTGTCTTGTTTGGTCTCCTCTGGCTTGGCTCACAAGTGGTCCTCTTTTTTTCCCCTGAATATTAACCAATACGAAGGCTCCAATGACAGGACCACACACGCGCACACACAATGGGATCAACAGAGTGACAGAAATATAACCTAGAAAGCAATGGAGGGGCAAGTAGTAATTATGAAGGAGGGGCTAATTGACTGGTTCCGGGCCAGTGAAGGGCAGAGATTCGGCTTCAACAGCATGAGCGCAAAAAAGGCAATGCTGGGAAGGTTTGCGGATCCTCTCTATCGGGTTCCTGCCAATGAGTGAGTGCACAGCAACAACCCAGCCAGATAGTCTGGTAAACGCCTTCTCCAGTGCAATCGGGAAGATTAACAATAAGAATTGCCAAAGGGAAAAAGAAATATGAGGTCCAAAACAAGAAAGGCCAACTAATCATCAAAATCTATGCAAAGAAAAGAAAAAAGAAAAAAGAAAAAAAGAGACAATTAGAAGAAGAATGAATCCCAACAGAAGAGGGATTGAAGAAGAAACCCAGAATACACACACACACACACAGAAAAATCAAAGACCATAGATAAATACTAGTAATGAAATATAATAAATGAGGAAAAAAGACATGACGAGGGTTTTTGATGTTCGTGCAATGCCGGTTTGCATCATTTTTCTTTTCGCACCCCAATTTTTTTTTGTTCCTTTTGGGTTAGAACAATAAACCCACAGGGTAACGGAAATAAAAAACGAACAACTAAAAACCGACACATGCCCTCAATCAAAGCCGCTGGAACAAAATCCTGGGACAAGCCATCCTTCCACTGCATGTAAACAAACTGGTCGATGGATCCATTTTACCCCCTCCCTTCTTGTCCCGATCCATCAGTCCACAGCCGGGATGAGCTATAGCCATCATCATAACACATAAGAATGACAACCAAACCCACTCCCGCACACAAATAATAACAAGCCTCGGGGGAAGAAATTGGTCCGTGACATCAAATCGGACACTTTCCACTCACCTATTATGGAAAAGTTTGCCCCTCTAAATCGTAATCACTGCGTTTTCCGACCACTTCGGGATCTGTCGCAGATCACACAATCGATAAAAAAGAAGAAATAAATAAATAAATGAAATCGAAGAAAAATATATAGTATGATGAGAGTGACAATATATATATGTATATATAAGAAAGTTGAGGCCCAAGATAACTTGGTGGTGAGATCAACACCAAATCTGAAACCAAATAAAAAAAAACACAAATAAAAGTATCGGTATCCCCAAGAGAAGTCCCGTGGAAAGAGAAACTTGAACTCAGGATCAACCCAAGAGTTGCCGGTGCTTCCTCGGCGATTTTAAAACGGTCAACTCACACCGTACGGTGAGATGAGGGCCAGTCAGATAACCTGACGGGCAGATACTCGAGGTGACGACTAGTTCTCCGGTTGGTGGGCCAGACAGGTGTCAAAAAAGTTAACGAGACTCCACTGTTCAAGAAGGTTTCGGGCGGAAAGGACATGCGAAGAATTGAATGTGAGACCAGAGGGACGCCAGCTGGAGTTAACTGAACTATGGCCCCGGGATTGCAAGCTAAGGGGAGGAGAGAGCCCCTTTAGGGGACGAACAAGGGCCTTAGTTAGAGCCAGTCCATGGTCACCTTTTTTTTAAATGACAGGGGGTGTGGGTGGGTTGTCATCGACGGGGGTATGTGTGTGTGCGTGTGGGTGTGTGGAAAATCGGGCTCCATCTCTCGCAGACTCACATTTCTTCTTTCTTTCGAAAGTGATAGAGCAGAAATGACAGAAGATCATGACGACGCAATGATGGGTAAGGAGTCACCACCTGCCTGAAAGGCTTGGGTTGGGCATCCGTTTTCCATGTTCTTTCGTCTCAATTTTCTTTTTTCCTTTTTTTTTTCCCCCAATTTTTACTTTTTTTTTCTTCTCTTTTATTTGTCTGCTCCGCCTCTTCTTCCAGCCCTATGCAGCGGTTTGGGGGGGTGATAGGAGTTCTCACCGCGTCGCGTCGTCTCTCATCCTCGCCCATCTTTATCAGGACGCGGCCTAGCCTGATTGGCTCTTCCCGTCAGTGGACTAACCATCGGAGATGCACCACGAGGATCTTCGCTGCTGCGGCCGTCGTTTAAATATTCCACCTGGGTCTTTTTGCTTTTTCCTGCTGTTGTGTCCGTCCAGTGACTAGTACTAAGTTCTAGCGGTGATGAACCCAAGTACAAAGCCACGATGTGGCGGTCCAGCAGATGGTTGCCCAGACCTTTCTTCATTTTTCATATGCAGGGACAATACGGGATAGAACCACGAGCATACGTCCATAACAATACAATTCTTAGTCTTTTTTTGTGTCATAAGAGGGATGTTGTCCTTTACCACATCTGCACTTTTTGTTTTCCCTTCATGAGACGATTTGTTTCTAGTTCAGCTTCCCGCCAGTGTTGCTAGCCATCAATGTGGCAGGTGACTAGATTTCTATCTATCCAGACCCTATGGGGAATGGTCACGAGGCCGATCCCAACAGCGATAAACTCCAGCGATAAACTCCCCAGAGAGTTACTGACTACTAATTGGGAGCCGGTGTACACGGGTATACATAAGCTTGTTGAGAACCTCATGAAGAACCACGGATCACTGGGGACACCCACGGGAAGGGGTGAACCTAATCAGGGTGTACCTTGACAAAAGCAGCCAGCTGCGTTTTGAAGATGGAGGGAAGAGACAAAGAAGCAAATCCGAGGCTGACAAGGAACAAGGGACTCTAGACTAATGGACTACTTACTATTACGCTTGCTGGATGGGGTTCTGGCCAGTCGGAGGGTGCGCGTGCCCCGGATTCGAACCAGCCTCGGACGAAGGGGAGATCCGGAGAAAGGTTCAGCTTGACACCGGCAATCCCGTGTGCGTCGACCTATTGCTCGTGACTACAGCTATCTACTAACTATTTCTTGACTAGTCAATAGTTGACACACACACTACACAGGCCCGGAGAATATCAGCTTAAGTAAGATGAAGGTGCATATAATGCCACCAGCAGCAGCAAGGGTCACATCGACAGTCGGCTGAAAGGGTCTACGCGATGAGGCAAGAGGGGGAGGCGATTGAACATGGCCAGCCATGACCAATTTCCTCCGTAGAGAACAGATCTGCGATCTTGTCTGTCCGCCAGCAGAAGCAGAGCAGGCGATTCACGGAGTATTTGAGCCCGGAGTGTTCCTGCTTTTCCCTAAGACCGGGTGGTGCAATGGGCATTTCTTTAATGCTTATAAAAGAGTGGCTCCGAATCGGCAGAGGAAATAACAACATCCTCGGCCAAGCACGGGATCGCAGACGGCAACTGCCCCCCACCAGCACACGTGACCCTTGACTCCCCGGGAATTGTGAGTCTCAGTCTCCGCAGCTGCCCATCCAAAAAGAGTCATTCCTCCTCCACCGGTCGGTCTGCCCACTTCCCTCCGCCCGTGCTCTCTTTCCTTTTTCTCTCGAACACCACCCCCCCAAAGTGTCTCGATCGGTCTGAAAAGTAAGATCTCTTCTTGGCTATTGTTTGTTCTTTCCTGTCTATCTTTATTGTTCCCGTGGTGGTATATATCTCTCTGCCTCTTGCCCACCCGAGTTCCTGGTTCTCTGCGAGGCACCATTCCGGGGATCTTCATACCGCCCGCCGTTCCGAGCTCGCCTGCGAGCGGAGGTGTCCCTCAACCTCGGTAGTCCTTCTCTCCCACCTCTCACTCCTTACCAACTGTCACAATTGACTGACCAGCTATTCGACCAGCTGCTCTCGATTCTTTGGAGCGCTTGTATAGTTCACATTGGTTGTATCGAGTGCTATTCCAGGCCGTCTGGCCTGATCCTCGCATTGACATCATGTGGAAGCCGTCGGAGAGTCTGATGAACACCATCAGACATTATGCCAGCTTCCCTGCTACTGGTGTCTCTCTCCGGCAGATGGTGCAGTTTGGAGATAGGCCCTCCACAGGTAAGTCTTCTTATTTTCTTTTACAAGCACTTCTCTCTCTTTCAACTTCTTGGGTGATCACCCCGCTAACCTCGTGATCTTTTTCCCCCTCACCAGGCACCCTCTTTCGCGCCTCACAGTTCCTTTCCGAAGAACTCCCAATACGTCTCGCTCATCGGGTCCAGGATCTTGGAGAACTTCCAGATGGACTCAGTGAAATGCCATCTATCAAGAAGGTCCAGGACTGGTACGCACAGTCGTTCGAGGTATGACTCATACCCGCTGGAAGTTGGTTTTCGGGTGAACGACTGACATGTGATAACGTAGGAAATCATCAACCTCCCTCGACCTACTCTGACCCAGGAAGTCAAAACTCGTCTGCTCCGTCCGGGGAGGCTCAATGGAGGCACTTCAAGGATCCTCTCCGAAACAACCCAGAACCCTAGCATCCGTGAGGGACAGTATCGCTCGTCTCCCTCGTCCCTGTTGAACGGCAACGGCAACGGCAAAGGCGCCGCCGTGGGCCGAAGATACTATGCTCCTTCTGATGACCATGGTGATTGGCCCCCGGAATTGAATGATTACAATGAACGCTTCGCCAAGACTTTGCAGCACATTAAGCGGAGACACGACAGTGTTGTAACTACCGTGGCTCAAGGTATCCTTGAATGGAAACGAAAGCGCCAACGTCTGCAGATTGACTCCACTGTTCAGTCCTTCCTTGATCGGTTTTACATGTCCCGGATCGGTATACGAATGTTGATCGGTCAACATATCGCTTTAACGGAACAAACGCATGTGCGACAACCAAACTATGTCGGTATCATTTGTACGAAAACCAATGTGCGCGAGGTAGCCCTTGAGGCTATCGACAACGCTCGGTTCGTCTGTGAGGATTACTATGGTCTCTTTGATGCACCCAAAGTGCAACTTGTCTGCAAGGAAGATCTGAACTTCATGTATGTTCCGGGTCACTTGTCCCACATGCTCTTTGAAACCTTGAAGAACTCCTTGCGTGCTGTCGTGGAAGCCCACGGTGCAGACAAGGATGCCTTCCCAGTCACCAAGGTCATCATCGCAGAGGGCAAAGAAGACATTACCATCAAGATTTCCGACGAAGGTGGTGGCATCCCTCGCTCCGCCATCCCCTTGGTCTGGACGTACATGTACACTACCGTAGAGCAAACCCCTAGCCTGGATCCCGACTTTGACAAGAGTGACTTCAAGGCTCCCATGGCCGGTTTTGGTTACGGTCTGCCGATTAGTCGACTGTATGCTCGCTACTTTGGTGGCGATCTGAAGCTGATCAGTATGGAAGGGTGAGTGTTAAGGTCCCGACCATATGAACGACCCAAGATAATTAACCACACACTAGGTATGGCACTGACGTCTATCTCCATCTCAACCGGCTCTCTTCGAGCTCGGAGCCCCTGCAATGACAATTACCAGTCATGAGGGATGGTCGTGTCCGGTTCTCCACTTCCCACCGACTGCATCCTTTCTACACAGAACCGGATCCACCACCATCCCAAGGATTGACGCCGATGAATATTCAAAGCGCGCGGATGCGCAATCGGGAAGTTTCCGAACGCAAGCAGGTTGGAGATGCAGCAATTCTACTCAACGCTGAGACGCGTGGATAAAGTAGCTGCAATTTGCTTGGCGCTTACCCTCGCCCAGTCAACCCGCCCATGCCGACGCACTAGACTGGGGTACTACTAGTGGGGACAGAACTTCCAGAGAACTATAAGCCACGAAACCTTGTCATACCATGGCTCAGCATGTGACATGGTCGGCCCCCTTGCAGGCCTTGTGGGTGGAAAGGTGCTACTACCATTTTGATACTTGTTGAAAAGTGCTGCGCTGGCAATCCCCCTGTGTTTATGGAGGATGTATTGAGATTCAGGCCGCATTTCTGGTCTATTAGATACCCTTTTTGGTACGATGGATCCGCATTGGAAGACACAGGCGCTCATGCATTCATTGACTTGAGTCGTATTTTGGAGATCTATCTATACACCACTATAGATGATTGGGTGCCTGTGCCTGCATTCTTCCCTGGACACCATCTTTTGTTGCTTGTTTGCTTGCCATTATTCATTGCTATTGGTTATTATGCATGTTATGCCTGAGTCGCAACCCTCCTTGTATAGTATTTTTCTTACGGATTGACGGAATATGGTACGGTATGGTTTGGATAGGATTTGTATGTACACAAACGCAGCGCTGAATCATTGTTTGGATATGTGAATAATACACTTAGAATTAACCCCGTAGGGAAAGCTTAGTATCTATCAGTCACAATTTCTGCTACTACCCCTCAAACAACCCCCTCCTTCTCTCCCTCTCCCGATACGACGCCGACTGTTGCAACCCCCTCCCCCCTCTTACCCCCCTCCCCACCCGATCCGGCGTCCCCATCCTCCCCTTCATCTTCGACGCCGCCGGCCCAGACCCCGAATTCGACCCCGACCCGACCGACGCAGGCGACGACTGCATCCCCCCAGCACCGCTAGCACTAACCGATCCCCCTCGGCCCGCACGCTCCATCATCGGCCTCCTCCACCCCGCATCATCCGTCTCATACACATCCACCACCTGTCGCGGCACAATCATCGCAACCGTCGACGACGACGAAGAAGCAATACTGCTCGTGCTGGGATGCTGCACGGTGAACCGGTCTGCGCGGATCGAGGCCGCGGCTTCGGGGTCCTCGGGGGCGAGAAGGCGGGATAGAAATCGGCGGCGGCATTGGGGAAGGGTCTGTACATTATTTTCATTCGTACTGTTTAGTGATGCATCTATGGGGAAGAAGTGGGGAGGGAGGCTCTTACCTCTTGATGCGCCAACGCTTGGATAGTCAGTAGTTCCCTATCTAGAAGGACGCATAATGCGGCGTGGCGGGCTTCGCGAAGGCGAGTGCGTATCTGACGTTCTTGGTCGAGGGTTGTTTGGTAGAGGGTTGGGCCTAGGTTGGGGGTTGGTGTTGTGGGGTAGGCTTGGTGCTTTGGTTAGTGGGGTTCTTCTATTTCTTGTTCGATTGTTGTTATGCTGTTGGAATTAAGGTGGTTATGGGTGATTGTGAGGGGCTTGCTTGCTATGTGCTGCGCTGAGTGAAGGGTGGTGGGGGAAAGAGTACTTACTATACCCCATTATACCCGACTGAGGCCGCGAAGACTGTAACGAGTACTCTACCTGCATATCGTCGTCGTCCTCCGCCGATTCGCTCTCCTCGAGGTCGTCGAGTTCGCGGATTAAAGACTCGTCGTCGTCTTGGAGTGCTTCCATGTAGATCTGTTCCGGGTAGTCGTTTTCGAGGTCTTCGTCTTCGTCATCGTCGTCGGCAATCACGATGGGGTCTCCTTGGCGACGGCCGGGGTTGGGTGTGGGGATGTTGGGGTTGAACATTTTCCTTTCTCTTCTTTGTTTCTTTCGTTGAGGAATTGAGATTGAAATGTAATTGGTGGCGGAAAGTGCGTGGAATATGTACGAGATGCGCAGAGCGGGTATTGTTCAAGTTGCGCTGTTTAGCATGTGATTATGCGTAATGCGCGCTGATAGGAGTCACGGGGAAAATTGCTGATGGTTGGGAGTTGTAAGTAGGATCGGGTATATGTAAGAAGTGCAGAAAGTATGCTGGTATGTCGATAGACAGAGTAAAGGTGCTGTGTGCTGTGGGTGTGTGTGATTCGTGCTCAAAAGTATTCGGCACGAGCTCCGCAGTGCATACACTGTAAAGGTCGAGCTCTGGTGCCGATCAGAAGGAATGGGCGAACTGAAGCTGATAGAAGCTGCACGAGTGACTGTTCGGAGGAAAAGTACTGTTCAACCCCGTCCGGCAGGATTAGCCAAGTCAATACTCCTGTCGTGCTGCGGTTCGCAAGAAGAAGAACTGGCGCGAAGCTGATGAAGAGAGAGAGTAAAGAGTGGAGAGGATGACGATGGCGGAGAAGGAATGGGTAGCGCGGCTTAGTCACGGGGCTGCCCTACATGGCGGGTTGACAGGTCACTTTTACGAACCGCTTCACTGCGAAGGATGCCATCACTCACAATCAGATGGTTCGTTGGTATTCATTTCTATCGAGTATCTCTATCTGCTCGACCATAACTCGCTCAATGCTCGAACAATCCACTTCCATCCCTCGATGCCTTCCCCCCCAAGTCACTCAAACAACCCTCCCACCCTGAAGAAGCCAATATACTATGAAGCTAGAGCACGAAACATCCCAGCATGACATGCCAACCGGGTAAATGCGAAGAAATCTGCAAAAATTACAAGTGAAGATCAAGATGCGATATGTCAGACCCCAAACCACCAGCTCGAAGGACGAAAAGACGCCGTCAACGCCAAAGGATAATGCCGCTAAAATGACTCGCAAGCGCCTATGACCGGCACCTTGGGCATGCCAGTAAGCCGTGCGGTGTTTGTATCAAGAAGACGGGCTGAAACTGATCTGGTATTCTCAGAAACGCTAGGCAATGCTCCAAGATCGAATCCCGCGTCCCGTCGAAAGAATTAGCACCCGTTCATTAATGAATTCGTGGGCCAGTCGTATCCGGCATCACCCCTGCTATGCATCAGAAAAATCGTGCTACAATGTCCTGGGAATGGATATGCATACCATGTTGTTACGTTATTGTTAGTGTAAGCCTCTGCATGATTGGCGATATACTCGGTCGTCTCATAGCCTGGCGGGTCGCAGGTGACACTGATGTTGTCCGGATCCTGGTATATGCGGATATAATCGAATCTCATAAATCCAGGCATTATGTCGCGGATTGTCTCATTGATTGGAGCGAAACTCCATGCCATACCCAGGTTCATAACTATCGACATCGGCTCCATGGGAATCATCCGCTGTCCAACGTTGCCGTTGGGACCGATAGCTCGCCCGTCTAGGGTCCAGGTCTTATCCTGGCCCACGAACCAGGTCACGTTGCCTACCGCACCCGGGGTATACTCGAACGCATATACCTGGTATTCGGTCCCATTATACCAGCGGTTGTTGAGGTTAGTCAGGCCAGACATAGCCTGCTGGTACGGCCCGCCCCGATAGGAATTGATCTCGGTGATACGAGGGTCGTACACGGCAGTGTAATCTGCAGGTTGTTAGAACAGATATGACCGGGCGCATGTTGTCAGCAGCGTTAGGCACCTACCGTAGTCAGGCATGTACCAGATGTCAAATGGTGCCATTTGCAAACTCTGGGACGCGGTTCCAATGAAAGCGTTTGGGTTGTTGTTCAGAGGGCCTACACTGGCCTCGATCACATCAATTTCCGGGGCCCCACGGGATTTGCCCGGGGTGGGATGATCGGCACCGTCACAAGTGCACGCCGGTAGACGCATGCCTGGAAGAAAATTGATACCATCTGGAGAACTCTGATTCGGCGTAATGCCTGCATCGCATCCGTCGTAGTAGCTGTATGGCCACGTGCCATCCGTGGTCGCAGCATAGCCCGGGCGGCCGAGGTTGCCCATCGCCCAGAACCCTGGCCAAAATCCAGATACATCTCCGGCTCCGGGCAAGGAGATACTGGCTTCCAAGCGTCCACCGGAGAAGCACAGCTTATTCCAGCTCTGCACCATTCCCGAACGGTAGCCAAGCTCATGGTTTGTAAAGGCATCGAACCGGATCTCCAACGATCCATCTTTCGTCGTGACCGCATCCGGGTCATACCACTACCAAAGGGTTAGTCGCGATGCATTGGTGGAAGACGATATCAGTACTAGCCTCCAGGTCCTGCGTCACACCATACCAGAAATCCATGGCCTGATAATAGGCGTCATCCCCATCATAAAATGTTCGACCAGGGGTTTCGAATTCGTCCGAGAACTGCTCCGGGTCAATGACTATTCACTATTGTAGCTCGCAGTATCTTCTCCCTGACTCACCACTAACTGCCATTCCTTCCCATCCACTGTCTTCTTTGTCATTGCTGATTCGGGTGTGTCAGGGTCTATCAATCCAGTCCTTAAATTGGTGAGACCTGATCGATCCCCAACGTCAAGACACAGGGTATCGGCAGGGTCACATGTCGGCACGTATTTCTTTGATATCCCGCCCAGGGCAGTTCTGAATACCAGTCAGTATACGACGATTTTGAGCACGGAACTAAGACCAGCAGGCCATGGATGACTCACATCACTGGGTAGGCGACGAATAACACTACAAAGCCCACCGTCATGAGGAGCAGCCCACCCAGATTGACAAGACCACGCTTATTCCATACATCGCACACAATGTCCTTGTCGTTTGGATCGGGATTATGCATATAGTCATCCTTCTCAACATCCTCCGGGAACAATAATAATCCTTCTGTTGGCATTATGTTGTACTTTTCCGTCACTGTTTGAGTGTTCACGTCATCCCCTTCACTTTCTGCACGCGAGGGCGCCCGGGAATCTTCGAAACGACTGTACAGGTAAGCTCTGGCATCATAGCTGACCGCCTCTGAGCTCCAGCTCGTCCGTCGCGAGGACCGAATTGACAGTTCGGGAGACCGCAGTTCCTCTCTGACGCGGTAGGGCCGCGGGGGTATTAAAAGCTCGGTTGATTCTTGGGGAGTGGGCGAGCCCCATGTCGTCGGGAACGTGGCTTCAGAGGCCGACTGCACCATGCCGGGGGTCAACGACCGCCCCATCTGCTGGGGCGGTACTGACACGTACGGATCATCGGAGTCGGCGAATGGGTCATGCTGGCCCGAATTGACACGGATGTGAGGTGTCTCGCGAAAGATCGCCTCTTCGGACATCCTGCGAAATGAAGGTCCGCCTCGAGGGGACCGGACTGGACGCTTTTGTATGCTAAGTCTGAAGCTCAACGGTGCTTATGCGAATTGGGTGTCAATGAGCGATTACCCAATATATCAAGATCCCTCCTAGCTTCCTAGATCACACGTCCTCCACTTTGTGACCTTTATGTTCCCCCTGGTCAGGCAGATGCCCACCCTCTGGAGACCAGGTATTTCACTGCAAGCCCAAATGTGATTGAAGAGAGGTGTCAATTGCTTAGCCGTAATGAGTGACAGTGGAGGCGCGACAAATATCGTGTGTGTCAATGCGATAATGAGAATGAAAGTGGTTGTCCGATGCCCGCCTATATCTAGAGCCAGTGCATATAATCAACGTCGACGCTGAACACGACGATTGATTAGTTTGACGAACGAGTTTAACGCAAGGCGAGATAACTTGATACTAAGGGATTGTGGGATGAGCGACAGAAAGGTGATTGTGCAGATAAAGAAAGAAGGAGTAGTGAACCGCTGAATCGCTCACAGGCCGAAGAATATCGCGCAGGCAGAAGTCGAGAGAGTGGAAGAAAAGAGAAAGCACGCGAACTGGAGTCCAGATGAAGATGGTGACAGGGACAGTCGTGATGCAGGGCTCAAGGAAGGGATGGGCAGCGCACGAAGTGAAGGAGGAAGAAGAAGAAGAAGAAAATGAAGGTGTAAAGAGAGAGAGAATGGGAGAATGGGAGAATGAAAGAAAGATGAAGGTGTGTGGCAGCCAGAGTGTGAACAAACAATGTCAATCCCTCGAGTGGGCAAGTTGGTCCTACATGCATGGATGAACCCAAGCTTTTTCTTCCCTAATTTTTCCTTGAATTTCCCCTTTTTGCACCAAAATGGAATCACCTTAATTTTCCCTGCTGGGTGACGGCGGCATTACAGCTGCAGGAGGGAGTAATTACAGGAGGGTTTGGAGTGCAACGACATGGCGGAATGCATTAAATCAATTTTAGAGTCTAAAATCCCCTGGTGGGATTGCCAGGTCCAGAAAGGGCGGCACCTGCATGGATGCTGCCTCGAATTGAAGTTATACTGCATCCCCTCGATCCCCGTCCGTGGCTGCGGTCTTCCTTCCAATAATGTGATGAACTGCTGCTGCACACGACGCAGGTCCGGCCCAGGTACCGTATACACTTGCTTACGCAGTCAGTATTCAATTCCTGACGAAAGGACCAACGTTCCCCGGCAACCCTTTCCATGACAGATGAGATTCCTGAATGTTGGGAAAGAATCCGGTTGCCCTTGACTGGCGGGAATGACGGGCCCTGAACCATGGAATTCCATTTTGGGCCGAAAATACAGAGTTAGTAAATCCCATCGCGGGCGCATTAGTCCTGTTTGGGACTAGTCAGTACCAGGATGGAACGGCCACTAGTTCTCAAACCGATAACTTACAGTAACTTGCAGTTGCGCGAACTGGATTTAGCGCCGATCATCTGGTACTGTAACTTGGTAATAAACACGCCTTGATCTCTCTCTCTCTCTTTCTGTCTCTCCTTCCCGCATTCTTGCCGCCGTTGGCCATTGACGACTACATTCCATCTCTCCTGGCTGCCTGGATTATAGTCTTCGAGGGGATATAAGATAGGCAACAAAGAATCGCCAAGTGGTCCTCTCTTCAACTGACTCCTGCCCTGGATAATCCAACCTTATGACTTCCCGTTACCAGAGAGCAACTTACGAATCTCTGCTATCGGCCCGGACGGGAGTGCTCAGCCATTGCCGATGCCGCACTATTTCCGTCAAAGGGATATTATCCAACCTAAATTCGCTATCCTCGCTGGCTATAAGGTTGGTTCTAGAATTATCAGCCTGGCTGTACAATACGTGTCGACTAGACAGGAAGTTAATCCGGCTGCTGACCACCAAACACGGGCTTCATCGTGATCCAATGGATCCTGTGTAACATAATCTACTAATTGGTCTGAGGCTGATTCATCTACAAAGCAGCCGTCCCATTGGCGATGTACCTGCTTTCTCGGCTAGGCGCTGAGGATGGGCAATCATATCTAAATATATTTATATTACCCATTAGTTCTTTGCGAAGTAGAGGTGGAAAGATCCCCCGTACAGCGCTAGGAACCCCTGGCCTGTGCTTTGGCGGTTGTTCATCCCGCATGGACCACATTCCATCAATAGTCAGCCAACTCAAGTGCACTAAAGTCAGAGGTCTCAAGTTGTTTGATCAGTAGCCGAGTTTGCAACTGAAATTGGCTTTATATTCATGTGTAACCCAGACCAGCCACCAACACGTCAGCTCTGGTCAGATCTGGCACAGCCAAGTCAAGACCAAAGTCTATTAGTTAATGTGCCATGGCCCTCAACTTGTCATTGAGAAAATATATTAGTTATAGTATAAGCAGACTATCTACTACCCTAGTACTGAGGGCACGAATAGCCACAACTTACAGTGCCGGGCGCTTAACTACCTACCCATCGTTTGTGCCTTACATGCGACCTTTAGCCCACTAAGCTAGTATATTTCGATCGGTACTGCGACATATATATATAGTAACATATAGTACTTATATAACATCTAATCTTACTACTATCTCGAATTGAACTCCGACTCTTTCAGACACATCTTTAACAATTTGTACCGGCAATATATATACCCCCCGAGTCCTACATTGAACCAATAGCCTCCCAATCGGTATACCAGCCCCTAACTACATTTCTGAGTCTGCGTGAATCCAGTATATTAGTTAGTGCTTTTACTAACCCTCTCTTAACCTGGGCCAAGCCCACCTACTACTCTATTCCTACTGAAAGCAACCGGACCTGGATAACTGCTCTCATTAACCACCCCCATAGCTAATAGTATATACACAGTAATACATACAGCAATAGTCAACGTCTATCAGTAACTGACCCCAAGCCCACCTACATTATCCACAGCAGCTTGCATACAACATCAACCACACCACCAACATTTCACTTATCCACCTGAGCTGATAAGCCAATACTCTCCTTCTCAAACCCTTTGATCTCAATAGACACCCCAGTCGCATAGAACAAAGCCTCATACTTCCCACTGCACCATTGCATCACCATTGCATCCACCATCACTACCACCATTACCAAACACTGCATATCACCCATCCCCAGAAACATATCAATCAATCAATCATCAATCACCATGCACTCACCTGCATGAACAATCACTCCTCCTTTTCCTCCACTACCACCACCAACACCAGCACCACCACCATCACCCTTCACACCTCCCTCCACACGCCCCTCCCCCTCCTCAGTTTTAACCTTAACCTCCCCCTCCCCCTCCCCCATCTCTTCATCCCCCACAACTGCCCACCCCAAACTGGCCACATTAGCCGCCAAAAACCCATCAAACCTCTCCACCACCCCCCTAGCACACCCATCCACCACACACCGAAACCTCCCCTTAACCCTCTCCTTAACACAAACGGCGGTACTAAGCAACTGCAACGACCTACCCACACCCAAAGGCACCCACCCACCCCTCGACGCCAAATTAAAGACCATATACCAAACATCATGACCCCGGGGAATAGCCCTGCACGCGACGCGCCAATCACCCATGAGTTTATCAAAGCCGGGCCACGAGATAGCGCAGATATTATTGCAATCGTTGTTCAGCATCACGGGGTGTCTGGCGCTGGGCATGCAGGGCAAGCGGGGCGGGGTGATGTAGTGCATGTTGGGGTCAGTGGCGCAGTCGAAGAAGAACAGGCTGTCCCGGTTCTGGGATGAGAAGGGAAGTGGGTGTGGGGAGCATGGGAGGTAGCCGATTTGCAGGTCGTGGAGGAGGTAGAGTCGGATGTAGTGTGCGTGTCGGGTGAGGAGGGTGTAGGTGGTTGGGTTGGTGAAGGCGTGGTAGAGGGAGTGGGGGTCGCGGAAGGCGAGGATGTAGGAGGTTGGGTTGCTGATTATGATGTTGGGGTCGATTGTGGTTGTGGTGGGTTGGGAGGTGTTGGATAGGATGCAGATTGGGTGGTTGTTGGCGTCGATGTGGAGGAGGATTTCGGTTTGGGGGTGCTGGTCTTGGAATTGGGCTTGGGGTGGGTAGGGGATGAAGTGGATTTCGGGTCCGGGTTGGATTTGAGGTTGAATCTGGGTTTGGGCTTGAGGTTGGATATGAGGTTGAATTTGAGGTTGGTTCTTGGGTTGGGTTTGGGTTTGGACTTGGTGATTGCTGCTCATAGTTTGATTCATGGGCTGTGCCATGCTTTGGTTCATGGTGGTTGGATTGTGAGGTTCCATTATGTGTATGATTGTTCTTGTAGTAGTAAGGAATTGGATGGTAGAGGACTGAGGTTATTGAGATTGATGTAGGGCTTGTATGTAGGAGAGTAGAGGATGAAGACGAAGAGAAGAACGGAAGAGAAGATGTAATGGAGAAGACAAAAGAGCTCATCTTGTATAGTTCTCTATATACTTGACCTAACACATCTCACTGCCATATAGGGCATTCTGTTTATAGCCGTGAATGAGCTTTTATGCTCAGATCGCCCGGGTGTCAATCGGTCTGATGCATCATGATGCAATTACTGAGGCATAGTGAAGAGATTCACTTCGGCGCAGTTGTTCGTAACACCAGACTGCATATTGGTGGCGGGTTGAGCAAGTTTGAAGCTGTTATATAGAAAAAAAAAGGCTGACCCAGTTATACTAGCTACCGCTAGTGTGAAAACAGCGCTAAGGATCAGAATGGTGAATTGAATGAGCGTTAGGGCTAGGACACTACTGCACATAGGCGCTTCTGGAATGCATGGAAGATTAGCAAGTAGTCATATTAGTATTGCTCATATCGATATAAGTGAACGTCATTCTCATAACATGTTGTTGCCTCGACACACCATCATCCACCCATTACTCAAATCAGACCACCCAAAAACAATGTAACAACCCAACCAGATGCAATCTAAGTCTCAATAGCCTTAGCCCTCAACCCAACAACCAACCCCTCGGTCCCATCCAGCGCCAAAACAAAGTACTCCACTCTCGACCTGGCCACCTCAACCCGATAGACCTTGACAGCCGCGCCATCCTCATCCCCCACGGCAGCCCGGACTGCCCTCACTACCCCGGCGTACTGATTCTTCGGGTCAAATGTCGAGAATGTCAATGTCTCAATGGAGTTAGAGAGGTCCGCGTCGGGAGAAACGAGGTTGGAGAGAGCAGCTATCATCACATTTACATTAGCTTATAATAGATCCAGTATACTCGGAACAGGCAACTCACCTGCATCGGGCCAGATTCCCCGCCCCGCATCAGGCCATTTCAGGGCAACGGGTTCAAACGGCTCATCTGTTTCGGAGACGTAGAAGGTATCGACGGAGGTGAGGGGCGTGGGGACGCGGACGTTGGTGTGGATGGTTTGGGTGCGTGGGGTGGAAGAAGTGTTGTCTCGCTGGGGCTGGAATTGGCTGGCATTGAGGTCTGCGTTGGCCTTGTTCAGGAAAGACATGTAGTCGTTGTCGGAAGACATGGTGCGGGTGGGAGGGGGGGTGATGATGGTGATGGTGTTGAAGTTGGATGCTGGTCTTGTGATTTTGGAGAGAATGTAGGGACTGCGTTGGATATGGGATCGAGATGAATATTGATGACAGCGGTGCTGGTGATATGATGGAGTAATCTGGACTGATTGTTGGAGCTGAATGGAAGAGGGGCGAGCAAAAGATGAGGAGGAAATTGAAGCCCAAGACACGAGGGGATCAATGACGCAATGGCCAGTGCGGCTGAGCGGCCAGCGGCGCAGACTTGCGGCGGTCATCTGATTGGTGCTGAAATGGGTGACAGAGGGAATGAATGAATGGATGGCTTCTAGAAGGATAGAGTGGAACAAGGTCAGGTAAGCAGCCAGTGAAGAGGTCGAAGGATGGATAACTGTTGGAAGAGCCCCTGATCTTGGTTGTCTTGAACGGGACATGGCGATCCGATCCAGGAAAATTTGCATCGGAGTCTGCGCACACACCATGCCTTGCCTACTACGCAGAACCTCCTATGAAGATTTTTCTGAGGCCTCCATACTGCAGTGGTTTAGGCAGATAACATAGAAATCCAACACATTATTATTGCTACGTAAACTACCGTGACACCATAGGAAAAAGTGAAAGGTATTCTTCGCTTTTATTGAAACGTAATATAATTTGCACTACACCGAACCATTGCCATAAACACCTTAAGCGGAAGTCTCCAGGTCCTTCTTGAGGGTACCCATGAAGGCGCGCTTCTCCTCGGGGGTCTGGAAAGCACCGTGACCGAACTTGGAGGAGGTATCGATCCACTTGAGCTCGATCTTCTCGGTGGCCCTGCGGCTGGTCTGGGGGTACAGGGTCTTGCGGAGGGTCATGACACGCTTCTTAACACCGGGGACGGAACCCTTAAGGAGAACGAAGTCGTTCTTGACCTCACCGTAGTGAACGAAGCCACCCATGCTAGATTGTATTTGTTAGCGTCAATGCTTCTCAACCTTCAGGTATAGGCTACTTACGGGGTGATCTGCTTCTTGGAGATGTCGAAGTCAGTGGAGGCGTTACCCTCGTCGGAACCCTTGCCAACACGGAAGACCTTGTGGTTGCAAGAGGTACGGTGGTGGTAACCCATCTGACCAGCACGGGCAACAGTCCACTGGACGTGGTTAGGGTGCCAGGCACCGATACAAGCGACCTTACGCAGACCCTTGTGAGTCTTACGGGGAAGCTTCTTGGTGCCCCAACGGCTGGTGACACCCTGGAAACCGTGACCCTTGGTGACGGCGATGACATCGATCATCTCGTCCTTCTCGAAGATGGAGTCGATCTCGATGGGCTTCTCGAACAGGTTGCGGGCGAAGTCAACCTTGTCGGCAACGGAGCCACCGTTGACCTGGATCTCCATCAAGTGGGCCTTCTTCTGCTTGAGGGGAGTCTTGCGGACTTGAGTGTGGGCGAGGACACGGACGACAGTGCAGTACTTCTTGATGCGCTCGAGCTCGCGGGTGATGGAAGCACCGTTCTCCTCGGCGTGCTTCTTGGCGTACTTGGTGAAAGCCTTCTTCTTGCTCTTGTACCAGTTCTTGTAGAAGCGGCGCTTGACCTCGTCGCTCAGGTGCTCAGCCCAGACGGTGGTGAGAGAGCGGAGACCACGGGGAGTCTCAATGTAACCGACAACACCGACAGCGACAAGCTAAAAATCGAAGTATGTCAGTCATTGAACGGATCCACATCACCAGGCCAGAAGAAAAGATTTTTCTTTCTGCCTTCTTCCTACCAAGGGGTCCAACGTACGGGAGGAGTCTCGATGACGGTAGCAGCCTCGACAACTTCCTTCTTGTGCATCTTGGCACCAGGACGGTCAAGGTCACGGACGACGGTGGTCATACCGGCCTTGTAGCCCATGGTGGCCGTCAGGTGGACGGGCTTCTTGGGGTCATCCTTGGGGAAGCTGCCGAACAGTTCAGTATATGTCCATCAAATCCCAACTTTTTCGTCTCGTCTTCGCAGTCGAAAAACTAACCTCTTGACCTTTCCGCGGTGGCGGGCGGCGCGCTTGCGGGGCAGGTAGGCAAGAGAGCCTGTCGAAATCCAAGTCAGTATACCATCCACACACAAGACCTCGAGATTCCAATATCGCTTGAGAGGTCGCAAAGTAGGTTGACGAACCGTGCCGAGGCGCTTCGTACTTCCGGTGACTCCTGTAAAGTAAAATGAATCAGCGACATTATCCCTCGAGGTCAACAATTGCCATAATGCGGCAGGTCCTAACTTACATCTTGACCCTGTTGTCGTTAGTCGTCGAAGTGGTGAGTGAGAGTGTCTATCTCTGAGTTTGCCGAAAGTCGTATTTTGCACGCTTAACGAATGTGGGCTGATCTAAGCGAATTCTTGGCGGCTATTTCCCATTCGGGTTAAGCGACCACGGGACCGAGACCTGAGTTCCTTTATGCCTCAGGCAGAAACAACCCACGGTCACGAGGTTCCTGCTGTCGGGCGAATCTCCCGGTCGGCAATATTACCAGATCCAGTGCCCTCCTCCAAGTGTCTGCGCCATTGCCCTACTTAGGGTATTCTGTTGCGTGCCCATCCACAATGTTGGAAAGGCCATCCATGCACACTATATACACGATATGTCTGCGGGAACCTACTGCTGACTTCGTTGCCAACGAGATACGGCAGGCTGCAAGGCTGTACGATCACTGACGGAAAACCGTTTGACCTGGATTTGACCCGACATCCACCGGAGTCCCAGACCCAGAATTAAACGCCCCCGTAAGGACCGTCCCCACGATTGAAACGCACGGTGAGACTTGGCGCTTAGTAGCCTCCGTTGATGCTCGCCGCGCCCATTACCAACTTTCTGGTCTGGCTGATCTCCCAGTCTCATTATAATCTACCCGTTGCAATTACCCTTATCGTTGCCAGACGTACGAGATGATATATCATCGCTGGAAATAGAAGTAGAATGTAGATCAATGTATTGGGGTTTCCGAGCTGCCCAGGTGTGTATATCACCTAGCAGGAAGGACTCATTCACAGACACGCGCACAAAAATGGATAGAACTTGGGAAACAAATGACCATCAAGACCGCCCCTCAAATGCCAATCCTACAATACAAACAAGCCTGGGTGGTAAAACAGCACATGAACGGAACTGCCACCGAAAGTCGGAAAAGAAATATATAGACAAATTCAAGGAAACAGAAGGGGAGCAAACGAGGGCAGTGTAACTTCTCATGACGAAAACTTTCATTCGGACTCTTCTTTCCTTAGAGCCGCGTTAAACCCATCGATCCACCTCACATAATACATCAAGTGGTGCCGCACCACAAGCTTCTAAACCGCAGATTCCGGCTTCGCCGGCGTAGGTGGGTTGCCAGCACTCAGAACACCATTGCTGCCGTTGTTGCTCGACCCAGCAGCATGCGGGCTTCCCTTCACCACAGCACTAGCTCGTTTCTCATCATCGTCATCATCGTAGTTTTCATCCACGTCCATCTTCCGCGCCGCAGGCTCATGTGCAGGCGCCTGTTCGCCGCGCGCGGGCTCCTCCTTCACCTGAACCTGAGCGGAAGAGGGTCCGGATGGCGGTCCGTTAGAAGGTGCAGCAGAGCTTTCGGCCATAGGAGGGAGACTGGGGCCACCAGACGGGTGAGGGGGCATGTGCTGGATAGAAGGCAACGTAGGAGGGTGGTGGGCCGCCTCAGACGGATGGTAGTTCTCGTTGACGCGGCGCTGGTCCTCACGGCGGATTTCCGAAGAACTGCGTCGCTGCATCTCCCCGGGGGAGGGCATACGGTTGGGGGGAGTGACACGACGAGACAGCTGATCGTCGAGGCGAGCACGGCTCTCTTCATTGGCGATCTTCTTGGCCGGTCCGGCTTCCGCCTCCCACTCTCGGCCGCGCTTCATGGCTGAACCAGGACGTTCTTCACGCTCGCGAGCGGCAGCCTCAGCAGCACTGATAGCAGAGGCCGGAGGAGGAGCACCGCCAGCAATGCCGGCAGGGAGACTAGGGCCGTGGTGATACTGCTGGTGCGGGTAAGTAGAGCCGGGCGATGAAGGCCGTTCATCACGCAGAGGTCGAACCTCCGTGGGCGGGGTGAACGGGCGATGGTAGGGAGGCAGAGCGTTAGCTGACGCAGGGCCATTTGGACCACCCGGAGCAGCGGGGGGACCGGGAGGAGCAGGCGGCAAGGGACCACGAGTAGCTGGCGAGAAGGCCGTCGCGGCAGCAGCACGATCGAGGGCGTTAGGTGGGGGGTTGGCAAGCTGAAGGCCATGGGGCTGTCCGTAAACACCCGGGCCGGCAAGGGTAGTCTTCGGGGAGCGGGTTGGCTGCGCACGCATAGCATCGGGGAAGCCTCTTCCGGGTTCTTGTCGCGGGCTTGGTTGCTGTAGAGAGGCGGGAGCACGGACGGCGTCACGGTGGTCAAAACCATTGGCGGCTTGTGCCTGTGCCTGTGACTGGAGTTCATTGATGCCACGGTTCCAGTCAGCTATCTGTCTTGGTGGAGCGGGAGCCTGCGGGGGTGGACCACCGGTTGGCGCTGGTGCACCCCATTGAGGCGCCGGAGGCGCTCCTACGCCAGGAGCTTGATAAGCCTGGGGATGGACATCCTGCGGTTGAGGAGCGGGAGCGTTGCCCTGACTGGAACCGGACAATTGGCTTTGAAGGAGTTGCAGGCGCGCTTTGATATGGACATTGGTCGGGTCGAGATCCGCAGCCCGACCGTACGCATCAAGTGCGTCCGCAATCTGGTTGTTGCAAGACTCGTACTGCCCACACGTTAGCGTTTCCACCGAACGGCTCACATCGGGCGTGAACACTCACCAGAGTTCCCAGATCGTACCACACTTCGGAAATGTAGGGATTCAAACGAATAGCACGAGAATAGGCATCCAACGCATCGCGGTACTGATTGATCTGGTAATAGAGTACACCAATCGAGCACCAGAAAGTCGGATTCCGACCGTCGCGGTAAACGGCTTGCTGATACGCTTCATAGGCCTTGGGGTACTTGGCTTGCGACATGTAGCAGCGACCGAGAAGATACCAGCTTTGGGCATCGCTGTTGTCTGATGGGATATGAGCGGAGGAAATGCGTACACCAATGCAAAGAACCTACCTGCGCTGACAGACTTCTCAAGGAACTCAATAGCCTTCTCCTGGCTAGTGTAGTTGTTGCTCTGTTGATGGAACAGCCACCCAAGCTGTTGCAGAACCTTCGCGTGGTTGGGATCACGGTCCAGGACCCGCCGGTACGCTTGCTGCGCAGCTTCGAACTGCAAATTC